GATAACTGCATCTACCTTAATAAATGTGTCGACGGTTAAATATGGACCAAACTCGAGCCTTAATAGGTATGCCTCTGTTGCTAGAGTTCAACGTTCTAGGGTTCAGATTTTTAACTTTACCAAATGCAAGAAATGTATAAAATTCAACACTATCGCTTACTTATCAGGTAATATTTTATTCACTAAAACGCATTGTATGCAACAATTTAATCCCTGTAAGCGCTAACCATGGTAAGAGTGGTCGTCCTCACTTACCGGGTAAGACTCTCGATTCTTGCTTTCGCTCTTACCGGGTAAGATTTTTAGTCATTGTCATATTCATCCAGTAAAGTAAAGTGACTTGGTAAGCGCTTACCCGGATAAGCGTTTGATAAACGACACCTTAGTATATACAAATATTATATACTTCTTTTGAAAGTTTTATACAAAATGAGGTGTAAAGAAGGTAAGATGTATCCAACCTCTTCTATGTCTAAAGGAAAGAATTGTTGTTGTAAACCCATAATTAACTGAAGTTAAATGTGTATGTGTGTGTATATATATATATATATATATATATATATATATATATATATATATATATATAGCGGCAGGTTCAAATGAAAACCATGCAATTATAAGAAATCGTGTAAATCAATTTCGACCAATAGAAAAATTTTATTTTTTTAATTAAATTTAATCAATAAAGGTATTTCGGTCATTTTCCATATTTTTTTTGATAAATAAAGAAGTTATTAATAAATATTAAATAAGGAAATTTAATAATGAAAATTATATAAATGGTAACATTTAAATTTTTTATTATATTATAATATTAAAAACTTGATTTTAATTTTTTGTTATTCAATGAATCTGGAAACGTGGTATGAAGATTCTAGCTTCTTATGGAATGAAATCTTGATTTGAGGTTGGAGGAAAAAAATCATCCATGTTCATGAAACTGTTTCAATGTGAAAAGGTTTCATTGTAAAATGGTTTATTCAATTCTTCTAGGCATATTTTACATGTTAATGAAATAGGTTCATAATGATGAAAATGTTGATGCTCTAATTGATTCATGATTCATGATCTAGTTTMATGGTGATCCATGTTGCTTTGTGATTGAAGTTGATCCGTTTAGTTGGTAGGATGAAAATGAAACGGGTGCATAATGAACAATGTTCTTTATGAAATAAATGTATGATGAAACGGGTGCATATTATATTTTGTTCTTTATAAAATTAATGTTCATGAAACTGTTTCAATGTGAAAATATTTCATTATAAAATGTTTTATTTTTGTTTACCAATTTTGCCCTTAGTATTGAAATAAAATAAATTTTTAATATTTTTTATTTTTTTATTTTTTAAAATAAAATAACTAATCTTAGTCATTGATCAAGAAAATGGATGAATAAAATTAATTTACACGGTTTATACAAATAGAGCAAGTTTTTACTTGAATGCTCTTCTCTCTTTCTATATATATATATATATATATATATATATATATATAT